ACTTTACAGTTGGTGTTACAGTTTGGTGGTGGAAACATGGAACTGCCCCAGTAATTGTTTTAATTTTCACATGTTAAGAGCATCTGAAAATTGTATGCTAAGCAATGCAGTCAGCTTTCATTGATGGAACCTTCACAATTAAGGAGAAAATCAGAAAGGTACTTCTATTAAGATCTGAGGTGTAGTAATAAGATTAATTTATCCTGTCTGTTCTGAAGGAAGAGTACGCTCTGTGTCCATCTCTTTTCCACTGTGTCCACATTAAAAAAGCAAGATGTGATATGCCGTAGTCTAGCCATCGCTAAAGGAAGCATTTAGTCAGGAAGAGCAAATCCTGCTTCAGTACATTTGTTGGAGGGAGGATTTTTTGCACAGTAAAACCAGCACGGGTGTACTACCTAACAGGTAAAAAAAAAAAATGGTTACTAGTATACTGTGCATGGAAGTATGCTCCACACCCTCCCACCCCCCCTGCCAAGCACAGCTCCAAAAGCTCATGCAAAAACATGCGTTTTGTCAGAGTAGGATGTGTTTTCCAGATCACAGCCCACAAGTATTACTTGAGGTGGATCTCAAAAAGAAACTTTTTCTAAACACAGTCACACTTTATAACAGCATGGAAAGGCAGCGATTGGTCTCTGATAACTGGCTGATCATCAGATGTGCAACAGGAGTTGTTTTTTTTTCCCCCCTCCCTTTTTCAGGAAAAGAGACGTAGTTATAGTAATGTACTGCTGAATCACAGAATAGTTGAGGTTGGAAGGGACCTCTGGAGATCATCCAGTCCAACCCCCCTGCTCAAGCTGAGTCCTCTAGAGCACATTGCACAGGATCGCGTTCAGGTGGGTTTTGAATATCTCCAGGGAAGGAGACTCCACAACCTCTCTGGGCAACCTGTTCCAGTGCTCTGTCACCCTCACAGTCAAGAAGTTTTTCCTCATGTTCGGAGAAAAAATCATTTAAGAGGCTATTGCAGTGCAAAGAGAAGAGAGAGTCTGGAAACTGCAGGCAACCTGAGGCCTCACTCAAAAGAGCCATCTTCACACAAAAGATATAAATTCTGGAACTATATTTTCTTAAAGATGTTTCTTTGCTTTAACTTTATATGGCCACGTTAATTTTAGGAGAACATGCCAGTGTTAGTGCCACTACCAAAGTAATAAATCTGGGTTAGATCCTTTCATCTTTTTTAGGTCTTAGAAATGCTATTACACATAATTGACATATTTTCCTCATTTTTTTTTCTTTTGGATAAGGGACAGAGAGAGAGGAGTAACTTTTAAGTAGACCTTTCAGCGTCTTCCAAAGTTTTTGTTGGTAATTCTTTCCAGCTTCCAGTCTTTCCAATGTTTAGTTAGTTTAGGGAAAGGTGAGTCTTCTGTTAGTAGAAGTTTTTCTTCTTTAAGTGTTCTCACTCAAATACGAGTTAATCTGTTCTGGACTGGGAAGTTTCTGATTATGTCAGTTACAGGAGCATAGTCTGGTCCTACCGTGTTTTCAGTTGATATAGTCACAATCACCTATTCATTACTTTAGTTTTTGATTTGCTTTGTGGACATTAGGACTGTTTTATATTAAAGTTTATATCCTGCAGAATTGATGAAGTTAATTCTGCCTGCCAGCTAGAAAAAGCTTTTTGTCTTTGCTCCAGTAAGTAGACATGAGGATTTTTTAGAGCGGGGTTTCTTGATCTTATACCATGGCAGAATATGATCTCTAATCATCACGTTCACCACAGATGCATTACAGCTACTAGCTATGTAAAACATAAAAATGAAATAGAGTCTGACCAGTATTCAACAAGAATATTCAACAAGAATATTACTGACATTTTTGTTGATGCAGTTCTTTAATTTTCTGTTAAGGAGATGATATTTTTCATGGACAGTACAGGATACATGTAACTTATAGAGCAGAGGGTTTTTGTTTTACGCAAAACATAAAAATGAAATAGAGTCTCACCAGTATTCAACAAGAATATTATTGCACGTTTACATACATGGAACCTCAGAGTATTATCGCGTGCTAGTAAGGTCTAAGTAAGTGGACAAACAATAATAGAAAGAAAATGTAAGCGTGCATCTGACCGAAAAATTGTCCGTCTGCACTTGCCCTGAGTGAAACAGGGCATGGTTTTGCTATTGCCGTTATCAGGACAAGGACAGGACCTCGGTCCCCAGTCAGTCCGTTTTTTTGTGTATAAAAAAGAACAAATAAACAAGTGTTACTTTAGGGACTTTGACAGTATTTGAACAACATTAGTCAGAAGTAATGTAGAGAAGAAGAGCAATTATCCATACGGATCACTCAGTCGATTACATTAACAAAAACAATTCGTGAAGTTGTGACAAAAAGCTTGACCTTTTGGGCCTTTGGCATGAGCTAGGGCCACAAACTCAAATTCTGCCCACGTGCAGGTCATGGCTAGTACAGGAGTGGAGCATGGTGGGTCTGCCAGCTTTCTTGGCTTCAGCTGTCTTCTCTGCGCTGATGACTCATGAAGCTTTTCCCATCTCTTAAAACGTTGCAGTCATGCGCGGTAGCGCTTGTCTGCTGTCTCTTACTGAGTGCCTTTCTGGCAGCTTAGAATAAATATGTGTCACAGACGCTGGCCCTTTGTTGGAGGAGTCTCTCCTCCACCTCCTTCTGTCGCTGTCAGCTCTGGTTCACACCATGTAGGCCTTATTTTGGGATAATTTTTTACTCTTTTCCCTTTGCGCACACATCCAGAGCACCCTACTGCATTTTCCATCTCAACATATCCAAGGCCCACTCCGTTCTTCTATTCCTAAAGGCATCTCTGTCTTTCAAACCTTCATTAAATGCTTGAGAGTCTGTTAAGCTGCTTTGCAGAGACATTGACCTGCTTAGGCTTCCGTATATTATCAGTGCAAACGTAAGCTTTTGATGTCCGCTTTGAAGCAGGTCATATACTTGCCCCTCTTTTTTTTATCAAATGGCCCACATTCGGTCTGCTCGGTTAATAGTTCAAGTTACGGTTTTGTAGCTTTGCTTTCTCTCCCGTTTACTTGGCACAACTAGCAGTGGCACCCTATTTCTATGTCCTCTGATTCTCTGCAAAGAATTTACGCAATCTCTGAGAATTTACAAAGCCCCTTGGAAAGGTCTGCTTCTGAAATAGCCAAGCGAACGTACAATCAAGTGTGTTAACTTAAATGCAATTTTTAATTTTAAATGTCAAAACATTATTTTCCATTAGAACACTTTATGAAACATTCAGCCTACTTTTTGAGCACGTGTAGTCTTTACTGACATTTTTGTTGATGCAGTTCTTTAATTTTCTGTTAAGGAGATGATATTTTTCATGGACAGTACAGGATACTTGTAACTTATAGAGCAGAGGGTTTTTGTTTTACACAAATTTTTTGTTCCATTTAAAAAATCAAAGTTACTCAGAAATTCTTTACAGACCACCATTGTTTTTACCAGCTTTTTCGTTTGAAATTAAAACAATTTAAAACATTGTTTCAGTATTTTTTCAAAGCATATGCTTAAATCATTCAGTTTTTGTTCTTTTTAAGTATTTTGTTTAGTAAAGCTGTAACTCCTGAATGCATATTCTGATTTTGTTCCAGTAAAGCAGGTGACCCAAATGGAGTCTCTTTTGAACTTTCAAGTTATGTGAAAATGTTAAATTTTCATTCTTCACAATTAGAACTTTTTTGAAATTCTGAAATTGCTGCCACAGCAAAAATCTGATTTTGGTCCAGTTTCATTTATTTGTTTCTTGTTATCTTTCTGTTGTCCTTATTTCTCTCCTGAATCGTGAAGAACTATCTTTAGTATTTGATAGTCTTGCACGGATAAGACACTCATGACAACAGTAATTAAGAATAATAATAATAAAACCCTCTTTGTGCTGAAATGCTCTAAATGTTTGTCTTTTTAAAATGTTTTATTTCCATTATGTTCTTACGAAGCACTGTTCACTGCATTTCTTAGTATACATGTACCCATGACCGTGTGCACTCTTTATTTTTTGATGTTGTCTGCAGAGTCGTGGCATTGTGAATTAGGGAGTGTAACGTCAAGATGGTACTGATTTTATGCTCGTTTGCTTAATCTAATCTTTTCTTTTTATTGGTACAGTAAGGCTTGTTCCAAATGTGACTGGAAGAGCTACCTATCATCTGTCAGACGTGTAATTCTTATCTCAAGAAAACTAGAAAAGAACAGCTCAGTACAAATTGCCTGTAATACAATTTCTTTTTAAGTGTGAAAGCCTGTTTCTTGTTAGTCAGTCACAGATTTGCAATATAAGCATCGTATTTGCAGTTAAAGAGAAACATCTGTCTATACCTGAGGCATCATTGGCCTATAGAAAATGGGTCACAGGAAATGATGGACACAAGCAAGTGGAGTGCATGCTTACAACGATTTTATGAATAGTTTGTGGGGGGTTGTTGATGTGTTGTTTTAGGAGAATTAATGCCAATTAGTTATTGGAGAGATCAAAGAGATTAAAGCAGGTGAGTTAAAGGTGACATTTGTCCCATGTCGAACCCTTTTCTCATCATTTTGGCCTACTGGGGGTCACTTTAAACAGACTGCACAGACAGGAGCTGTGAACACATCATTCTGCCTTAATGTGCTCATATAGCCTAGATGACATAGAGAGAATTGCATGATTGTAAAAGAAGGCAGCACAAGTCATTGGAACGTAAGTTAAAAATAAAAGTGGTAACAACTGTCATTGACTCAGACAGGAAGGTTTATATTCTTCCACGTCGGTTGTTGCTATTGCTGGATTGGTATAAGGCCTACAAGTGAGTCTAGATATGAGAAAGGTTTGGCCCTTTCCAGCTTGTAGGACTTATTTCATCATAATGATGAGCAAAGGTAGTGACTGCAAAGATTTTAGGGAATTAAACACCTCTGAGGGTTCCTAGAAAGCAGTCGAAGAGAAATGTTGGGAGACTGCACTGGGTTTGGGGTTTGTTTTTTTTTTTGTTTTTTTTTCCTTAACTCCTTATATTCAGATATTGATCAGTGGAATAAGGTTATTGAGCAGCTGGGAACACCCTGTCCAGAATTTATGAAGAAACTACAGCCGACAGTACGCAACTACGTTGAGAACAGACCGAAGTACGCTGGCCTCACTTTCCCCAAACTTTTTCCAGACTCTCTCTTCCCAGCTGACTCAGAACACAACAAACTCAAAGGTATGTCTAACAAAGGGACGTGGTTCACGCGTGACTGCTACAGTGCAATGCAGGTTTTCCGATTTTTCTTCTATCTAGCTGCACCCCCTTTTAATGCCATTAGTTTCAGAGACGTCACTGTGTTTTTTTTAGTGTTCAGACAACGAGACAAAAAATTGTAATTTTGAAAAGGGTGTTTAGGGCTTGGGAGAAGACAAGAGGACTGCAGCTTTGATATTTGCAAAGCTGGAATCCCATCAGGCTTTTACTGGAGGCTATGTTCACTTTAATATGAGAAAAATAAAAGAGGGACAAGTGAGAGAGTCATGTTTTTAGCCAGCGGGTGGTCCTCATGAAAATGATCGTGAGTAGTCTCTTTCTAAAGGTTAGACACGGTGGCTGTGAAGACCAAATGGGTCAACCACAGATGGCTGTATGGGTTTTATTTGGCTGAGAGTCAGCCTTCAGAAGAGACTTTTGTAGAACCTAGCACTTGGGCAGGCGAGGGAACATACGTTATCACAGATTACTATGTCAAGCTTTCATGGTGTTCGTTGTGATACGTGTGTGCCTCAAGGAATTGTGGTGTTCCATAATTCCCTTTCTTAAACTTGCTGTAACCCAAAGGAACACCAAAACTTCCATTTGAAGATCTCAGCACTCATCTGTTTTAAATGAAAAAATAACAGATCAGCCAGATGCCTGCTGAATAGAAAATAAAGATGTCAACGCCATCAGCCAAAACGGTCTTGAGGTAGCCGGGGTTTAGTATCTGTCATGGGCGGACCTGTTATTTTGGAAAATGCTCGGTTTTGGTATGTGAAGCACAACACTATCTTAATTACAGTGAGACTAGATATACTGTTTTATATACTATGAATATAGTATATAAAGTGTACTGAGTATATACTGTGAACGTGTGTTTTGGTGATTTTTGTCGTACACTGAAGCTATGATTAACTGGAACAGGACATTGACCTTCAATTGGAAACAGTGATTAATGTGTGTGCGTTTAATATAGAAGGGATTTCTAATCACAGCTCTGGAACTTCTACAAACTTGTGCTGCGTATCAGTTCTGCACCCCGTGAGTACTTCGGATTGCCTATTAGGGTGGCGTGCAGTGTTTTTCACTTGCTTGAAAAGTGAAATGCAACGATGTTGCATTTGCACGTCGTTATGTTACCCAGAATACTCTTTCAGTTAACAACTGTTTCATAGCAAGGCTGCTATCTGAGCTCTCGGGGCAAAGTGAAAGGTCTGAGTGAATGCTTTTGTATACATTGAATTTTTTACTTCTACAACAAAATTGACTACTGGAATTTCACTGGATTCGGAGCTAATGAATAGGAATGAGAGCCAAACTGTGGTGTTATCTCTTGGATACAGAAAGCACTCACGTTTGAGCACACTGTTTTTAAGATACAGTCACAAAACAAGAAGCAGTGCATGAAAAAAAATCTGCTTTTGCATCGTTACATCCTCCCATGCCCCACCTAAATATTTCAATAAATAACGTTAACAGTTTCAATAATATTTTTGCACTTAATACCATTTGTCTTTTATTTTCTTTTCATGTTCGCTATTGCGTGAGGCTGAGTGAATTATTCCAAACATGGAAGAGCTTAGATACTGCATTGGTAGTAATATTGCAAATTTACGTTGTTAATTTTTTTGACATGGGTTTAAATCATACTGCATTTGTTACAAACTCCTGACAGTAAAAAACAATTTGGGTAATGAAAGAATCGATCGGTCTGTTTGGCACAATGGGCTACGTTATCAGGTAAAATAAATCAGTGCTACATTGTAGAACTCCCAAGTATATATGAGGCTGTGCATTTTTGTAGTGGTGGATAGTGTGTCCCGTTGATTTCAACCTCATAATGTGAGACAACCAGGACCTGGGCCATTCTGTGGTATGTTTTACATGCCAGTGAATTAGAGACGCGCCAAGGAAAGGGAGTTCCGTGCCATCATGGCTAGGTTGCTTCTAGTGCCTGACCTACCTGCCCTGGGTATGTCTGCATTTCAGCCTGCAGTTTCCAGGTGCCAAGGAGTTTACTAAGTAATCTAACATCTTCTAGATGCTGTGCTGTGAGGAATACCGTCACAATAGCCCTGCACTCTGCCAAGGAGGAGTCTACTTTCAAAGATCTTTAAAATCTCTCTTCAACTGAGAGAATACTTTCTGGCATACTTGTTCAGTATTGACGAGAACATTCTTGATGATATGACAAACCTCCAAAGTTCTACTCTTATCTTAGAACTTGCATTGTTTTTCTAGGGGAGGCTAGATGTGTCTCTCTCCCTCCCAAATAGATCCTGGCGTGGAGCAGAGATTGGAAGCTCAGTTTTGAGGGGGTTGTTTGGGAGTGAACTGCCAACAGCTGAGAATTCAGCATGCTTGATACCAAAGGAGACCTCCCTATTCCTTGTTTAGATGACCTGCTTGCTTTCTCTTAGTGTCAGTATAGGTGATGTAGTTGGCAGGGGAGAGGAGGACGTTGTACTATGTATTGATTCTAGACGTTCTTGCTTCCAAAGGGCTTCCCTAAGGAATGCCTCACAGGGAGCCAGGTGAAAAATTTAAAAACAGTAAAAATATCACGTACTGCAAAACCCTTTGTTATGTTTTACATTTGAATAAGCTAGATGTGACGTTGACTTCCAGGGTCATTTGTTGGAGGTTGGAACATCCAGAAAAGCTGGGTGTTTTTCTGAGCCATCTTAAGAGTACCTGTAAGTTTCAGGTTTTGATTTAGAAGTGCAATGATTTTAGAGTTCAGTTATGATAGCTTTTGTTTTCCGGTCCTGGCAACAATACAGAGACCTTAGGCTTACCTTACTTTTGCATATTATTCATGCCTGTACATGCAATCTGCATACAACATGTAAAATCTCTTTGAAGCCTTTTAAGAGATTTACGGTAGGCAGCCCTGATGTTGACTCCCTTTCCAGTGAATCCAGCATAAAATAATTACTGAAGAACTCTTGCTATAACAAGCAGGGGCAGAAATACATACAAACAAAGCCCAAAGAGAGGGGAATAAACTACCTTTCTTTCAGGTCTCTTAAAGGATTGTGTTAAGTTTTACTTTCTTAACCCCATTAACCGTCCTCTGGAGGTAGTGATTTTCTGTGCTAATACTGTGTTGTTCTGATTTCATTGCTCTAGCCAGCCAAGCCAGGGACCTTTTATCAAAGATGCTAGTCATTGATCCAGCCAAGCGAATATCAGTAGACGAAGCCTTACAGCATCCATACATTAATGTCTGGTATGACCCAGCAGAAGTGGAAGCGGTAAGTGAGACGTGACTCTTTACTTCAGATTGCAAAATGCAGATGTGGTTCACAGATTCCTACTGTTAAACAGCAGCTTGACACCAAGTATGCTACAAAGAAACAATGTTGTTATGACTGTGGTGGTCTTTGGATTCATGCAATGCTACATCTGTAGAGACAGGATATATCTTTTTTTAGATGAACTGGCAATAGGTGGGAAAAGCAGAAATACTTCCAGGCACACAGAGCCGTTATCTGCTCTCTTCTAGATGACGTGCCAGTGACAGGGAGAAAAAGCTTTTGAACCCAGTAGCGCTCTCCTGGTTTTCCAGCTATGTAACTCAGTCTGACAAAAGATGTTTTGTTTCTCTGTAAACCTGTCCTTGTGAAAAACGGCAAACGCAGTTTCTCATGTTTATGTTGTAGAATACACGTGGAGAGGAGGAGAGTCAAACAAAACAATATAAAATCCTGAACTCTAGACTCAGGAAAACCTTAGTGGAACATAAGTTCTTGCTTAAAATGGAGCAGGGACTAACATGTTTTCCTAGGCCATGGTTCAGGGCTCAGTGTCGCCTAGACTGTGTGCAGAAGGAAATGGAATTTTTCTTATCATCCTGTTAACGCTCTGGGGACCTACCGGTACACCCTAATGAAGCAAGGACTGGCTGACGATACCAGGAATTAATGCTATCTGTAGGTGGGGGGGTTGGACTAGATAATCTCCAAAGGTCCCTTTCAACTTCAGCTGTTCTGTGATTCCATGTACTTCAGTGATATGGGGCAATATGTGTAGGTATATACGTACAGATGCTCCCCGTAGTACTAATAAGTAATAAAAAGCGAATGTAATAGTGAAATTAAAATTTTGTTTTGGGTATCCTTTCTCTTACTGAAAGAGTATGACTTACAGATAGCCTGAAAAATAATATTTGTCCAGTCAGTCAGAGACTGTTTTATTCCTTCCTGTCCGTCTCTTCTCCCTGGGTAGTGAGAGAGAAAGGGAAGCGGGATCAGACCAGCCCTGAAAGATGAGGAATTTTATACTTGGTTATTTCTTTTCTCCCTCTTCTGCAATTTTAATTCTTATTCCATTCATGGCAGTGCTAAATAAACACCATTCCTTTATAATTAGTATTATTTTATATATATGCATAAAATATAGTGCAATAATAATATAATAGTATAGTATAATAATAGTATAATTAGCAGCTTGCTAGTGTTTGGTTTTTTTTTTCCCCTGTGGAAGTAGTGCTGTGTGGTTTCTGGAACATGCAGTATCTGTAAGCACTTCTTCTGAAGTATTGCATATCAAGGTGGTTTGTATCGTTATTAGTTGCTCTTGACTAAGCGTGTCAAAGAAAAAAATCTGGACAAATTTTGGGAGTGAAGAAATACTTTGGGTCTTTTCAGGACAGAAAGGCAGAAAAAATACAAGCATTAGGAAAAAAATGTTGATGTATGAAAACAGAGCTAAGTTTTTCAACAAGTTTGGAAATCTTACCTCACACAATAGGAAAGTAAGACACTGAACCTTGCAGAATTAAACTGTTGCTGTTTAGAAACCTGGTCCAATTCAACATATGTTCCATCTCAAAAGAGAAGCAAACTGAACGCACAAAAACGGATAAAATTTCAATTGCATAGATTTTTTGGAGTGTATGTTACTTAACAGTACTTCATGGGGTTTAGTTCTGCTGTCTAGAGAGCCTTCCATTTTTATGCCCTCTTGTTTTCTTACAAAAGTCTGTATGTCAGTCTGAAACGTAAACATATGATATGTTGCTGTAATCACAAACATGGGACGGTTTACTCCCAGACATGCCTATTTTAGTTCCACGGGCTTCTTGCAGGTAGTATTCTATTGTCAGATATTTCTGTTACATTTTTATATTTCCATGCATTTCTTAATGTAATTCTAAGGAACTTCTCTAATTTGAGAGCTCAGACAAGACTTTCAGGCGCTTGATCTTAATACCGTCTTCTGTCTTCACCTTCCTGTCGGAGCAACGCTGTCCAGTTCAGGGGCAGTTAACTCCATGGTGTTGCTTCATGTAACTGGAAAAAGAGAGTACTGTTTTAGAAAGCTTATGAGCCAGTGTCTTCTTCCAGCACAGTGTAATTCTTCTCTCCCTAGTTTGTTTTTAGATCAGGTCTCAGGGATCTTATTCTCTTTCCTTGTTGCATACTTATTGTACCGATTTGTCTTGATTTAAGAACGCCTTTGTCATTGTTGCCAACGCAAAGAGCAACCACAGCAGGTGGAAAACGTGACCGTTGATTGTTGAACTAATTCTGCCTCGGTCACATTGACCATATTTGACCTGCATTTTTATTTACTGTAAAATGATGGACGGACTGGGATCTAATGAGCCCAGTAAAGCTCTCAAATGCCCACAGTAATTAGGTTCTAGTTTACTAAAGTGTTTGTCTCTGACCTGCACCTCATACCACCATAGATACTTTACAGACTTGGTGCCACATGTTATCAAATCACATTGCCCACGTTTTCACTGTTGCCACATTCAATTACTCAGGAAATGACTACAGAAGGTGCAAAGCAGCGGAAAACCAAACTGTCATTGCTGCCATAGTACCTCAAAGCACAGAGAACGTCCTGTGAGGAAGGAGTAGTGTCTTTAAACGTTCAGCAGTAAAATGGCTGATGTTGTCCCAGTTTTTGTAGTTACGTCTTTGTCTGAATTACATCTTTTTAGATGCGCTCTGTTCTTTTCACCCACGTTGTTCTCTGCACAATTATCGCATAGTTAACATCGACTGAGCTGCTTTCTCCATCTGTCTTAGCTTCCAGGTTTTCTCCTCCAAAACATGCTAGCTCTTGTCCATAACGCGCTATAGAATCGTACTAACTTTAGCTATAAATACTTCAACAGTGAACTGTTACTGAATTGATGAGATGCTCTTCCCTCTGTGGCATGGAGATCCTTCTTCTCTTTGGATTACAGCAGATTGTAAAAAAGGAAAGGTTCAGGCTGTGTGCAGCGTAACCTAAATAGGAGAATATGGGATGAATAAATGCTCGTTGTATTTTTCAAATTACAGAAGGAGCCTGGCTTCACTTAACGCTCCTCACTTCTCAGATCTCATTTTGAGAGGGAAAGTTAAACTAGAGGCCCTTCTTTTTACTGTTCAGAGTCTACTGAATTCTAGATTTCCATCTGTTCATGCTGACAGGCCTTCAGTGGCTAGCTGTGAATCATTTACTAATTATTTTCTGGAGAAGGCTTATCTCAGTTGGATTTTGTTTGCGTCTCGAGTCAGCTGTTCAAGTGCAGTCAGTCCGTATTTGTCATCTACGTTATCTTGATGGAAGAAGTTGTTGTTTCTCAAAAAGATTCATGAGAGATGTGATGCACTGTTCTCTGTATTGGTTTATTCAATACAGCTTAAAAAAGAGTGTCCTGAGACTCTGTGACTGTTAGTAACATGGCAATGCCTCTAGGAGAGGTTGGTTGTTGCTGCACTGTAAAGTTGCTTTTGTGCTGAGTACCATGCATGTTTTAACTTGCTGCTCCTGGCTGAATGCTTGACATCAGATGGGCTGTTGGTTCTTTACAGGGCAGCAAGGTACCTGTATGTGATAAAATTCATTGATGGCAACACTAATGGTACAGTGCTTCAAACATGAAGTAACTTGTTACGTCTTGGTAAAAGCTGTGTCAGAGGGCACATCAGTCAGTGTCCATTTTTCCGTATCTGCACGCTCTGATCGTAGGAACGTAGTGTAATATCCGAAATACCTTTTGAAGTACCTTGTGCAGCTGTAACACTGCACAGAAATTGGATGTCTTAAATTATTACAGTTTTGTGCATTAGTTTATATTCTAACATAAGCTCCAGGCTATGCTTTGTTCTAATACCGTTGTTCCATTTCTGTGTTCCTTTTTGTAGCAATTATGCGTTATTAGGGTATAGGATAACGTAGTGAATCACTGTCAGGAGTCTTCCTGTCTCTCTCACGTAAATACTTAATTTAAATGTCCTGCTTGTTGCAATTCCAGGAGGAGATTCAGGATCTAATTCAGTAAACGTTTCCTAATGCTATGGTTAATGCATGTCCTGGGCAATGTGAAAATGCCACTCATCATCTGTATTTTTGTTGGATCATGCAAACCTTGTAAGGGTGGAGGTGAGAGTTAGTACTCATCATAAACATTTCCAAACAAACTAATTCTTTGAGAGGTACTTTTGCCGATCCGTTTAATTATCTGACTCTCGTGAACGTTTCTGTGCTGAGCTAGAATGCAGAAGTAACGACAGGGTGCGTCAGTTGCATGGAGAAGTATTGCTGGAATGAGATGGAAAAGCCCAGAAAGGATTTCCTGGCTCATAAATGCTGAATTTTAAAATGAAAAAGGCATGATTCTCAATATACAGAACAGATGGCAGTGTGATTATTGCAGATCATATACATCTCAAGTTTCCCATTCCAGTTTGAATGCAACAAGTCATGTTCCCGTGTCTTGGGAAACTGTTTTATTAATGTTCGTGTGTGCTTTGAAACAATCACACTGGCACATTTCGTCAGTGAATCTTGTGCAGTGAATCCAGATCAGTGGATCAGGTAGATCAAAATTGAGTGGATCTAGCCCACAGAATTTTGGCGGGTGGAAGTGGGATCTGCCATTGCACCTCAATTCTGCAGGTGAACCCTGTTTCTAGGTGTGAACCAAAATACGACTGTAGATCCAGACACTGTTGGAACAGTGTGATGAAACTCTCGTGCTACTAGTCTGGATCCGTTTTGTTCACAGACTATGGCAGTTTGTGAAGCTTACAAAATGCCTTATGGGAAAGGTAAATATGCATGCTGATCGCTCACTGTTTCACTGAATGCAGTTAAGCATTAGTCCCAGCGTGGTCTCAGGGTTTTTGTGATTACATATCTTAGCTGTGTTTGGGAGCTAGCTTTTATGAACGAAGGGCAAAAAGCAAATGGAAGACTACTGTCTGAAAGAGTTTATTCCAAACAGTTAGCCCCATTTTTCTTTGTCAGT